AGGGGGGTGGGGTCAGGATTGGGGGTGGGATTTGGGTTGGGATTGGGAGTGGGGTTGGGGTCAGGATTGGGATTGAGGGGAGGGGGGTCAGGATTGGGGTTGGGGTTGGGGTTAAGACTGAGGAGATTGGGGTTGGGATCAGAATTGGGATTGGTGTCAGGATTGAGGGGGTTGGGGTCAGGAGTGGGGCCGGGTTTGGGGTTGGGACTAAAGGGGTTTGGATCAGGATTGGGGTTTGGATCAGGGTTGGGGTCAGGGTCAGGATTGGGGTTAGGGTCAGGGTTGGGGTCGGGATTGGAGTCAGGATTAGGCTTAAGACTGAGGAGATTGGGGTTGGGATCAGAATTGGGATTGGGGTCAGGATTGAGGGGGTTGGGGTCAGGAGTGGGGTCGGGTTTGGGGTTGGGACTAAGGGGATTTGGATCAGGATTGGGGTTAGGATCAGGGTTGGGGTCAGGGTCAGGGTTGGGGTCGGGGTCAGGGTTGGGGTCGGGATTGGAGTCAGGATTAGGCTTAAGACTGAGGAGATTGGGGTTGGGATTGAGGGGAGTGGGGTCGGGATTGGGGTTGGGGTCAGGAGTGGGGTCGGGTTTGGGGTTGGGACTAAGGGGATTTGGATCAGGATTGGGGTTAGGATCAGGGTTGGGATTGAGAGGATTGGGGTGGGGATTGGGATCAGGAGTGGGGTCAGGATCGAGGGGATTGGGGTTGGGGTCAGGAGTGGGATCAGGATTGAGGGGAGCGGGGTCAGGGTTGGCACTGGGGAGCAGGGCAAGGGAGGGATCAGTGGGGTCGGGATGGATCAGGGCTGGATCTGTGGGATCAGGGCTGGGTTTATGGGGTCCCTGATGGGTCTGTGAGGTCCCTGATGGATCTCTATGGGATCCCTGATGGGTCTGTGGGATCCCTGATGGATCTATGGGATCCCTGATGGATCCATGGGGTCCCTGTTGGGTCTATGGGGTCCCTGATGGGTCTGTGGGGTCCCTGATGGGTTTATGGGGTCCCTGATGGGTCTGTGAGGTCCCTGATGGATCTCTATGGGATCCCTGATGGGTCTGTGGGATCCCTGATGGGTCTGTGGGATCAGGGCTGGATTTATGGGATCTGTGATGGGTTTATGGGGTCTGTGATGGGTCTGTGGGATCCCTGATGGATCTATGGGATCCCTGATGGATCCATGGGGTCCCTGTTGGGTCTATGGGATCCCTGATGGGTCTGTGGGATCCCTGTTGGGTCTGTGGGGTCCCTGATGGATCTATGGGGTCAGGGCTGGGTCTATGGGGTCCCTGACGGGTCTGTGGGGTTCCTGCCCAGGCTGGTGCCCGTGCCCGTGCCCGCCTGGCCCTGCAGAGGCGGCAGGGGCTGTTCCAGCTGCGCTCCCTGCTCTGGGCTCTGCTGCTCCGGGATGGGATCAGGGCTGGATCTATGGGATCCCTGATGGATCTATGGGGTCAGGGCTGGATCTATGGGGTCAGAATTGGGATTGGGGTGAGGATTGAGGGGAGTGGGATTGGGGTCAGGATTGAAGGGATTGGGGTCAGAATCAGGGTTGGGATTGAGAGGATTGGGGTGGGGATTGGGATCAGGAGTGGGGTCAGGATCGAGGGGATTGGGGTTGGGGTCAGGAGTGGGATCAGGATTGAGGGGAGCGGGGTCAGGGTTGGCACTGGGGAGCAGGGCAAGGGAGGGATCAGTGGGGTCGGGATGGATCAGGGCTGGATCTGTGGGATCAGGGCTGGGTTTATGGGGTCCCTGATGGGTCTGTGGGGTCCCTGATGGGTCTGTGGGGTCCCTGATGGGTTTATGGGGTCCCTGTTGGGTCTATGGGGTCCCTGATGGGTTTATGGGATCCCTGACGGGTCTGTGGGATCCCTGATGGGTCTGTGGGATCAGGGCTGGGTTTATGGGATCCCTGATGGCTTTATGGGGTCCCTGATGGGTCTGTGGGATCCCTGATGGATCTATGGGGTCCCTGACGGGTCTGTGGGGTCCCTGACGGGTCTGTGGGGTTCCTGCCCAGGCTGGTGCCCGTGCCCGTGCCCGTTTGGCCACCCAGAGGCGGCAGGGGCTGTTCCAGCTGCGCTCCCTGCTCTGCTCCCTCCTGCTCCGGGACTCGGAGCTGCGGCGCCGGCGGCTGCTGCGGGATCGGCGCCGGCGGCTGCGGGAAACGGCCCCGAAACGGCTGGGACCGCTCCGGTGGGGAACGGGGGGGAA